CACGCCCCATACGTAGAAGTCCAAAGGATTCAAATCTGGGCTGTTGGGAGGCCAGAATTCTTTCGACCACTTTGTCCTAGCTTCGGAAAGCATCTGTCTCACTTTAATTGTGTAAGACTTGTAGCGAAGGTCCTCCTCGACGATTCGACGCATAGTTTTCTCGTTCACACCAACAACTGTCGACAATTTTCGGATCGATTGCCCTGGATCCTCAAAAATCAGCTCCTGAGCCCGTTGAATGATGTCGGGCGTCCTGATAACGCGCTCCTTCGAGTGGAATTTCCTCGCCGGTGTTGCAGAACCTTCGTTGGACTTCTCCGACTCATGATACTTTGCGAAGACATCATACACAGTCGATCTCGGATACCCGAAAAACCGAATGATTTCTGTTGCTGAGCGCTCGGCGCGAATACTTTCGATAATCGCGGCTCTTCGGTTGTACTCCGCACTTGGTTTCAACATTGCGACTGTTTCGAGGTTATGATGGTTTAGTACATGCGTCAAGCTATTTGACTGCCAATCGCGACATCTACCAATGGTATTGAACGGAGGGAATTTCAATTTGAAATTTGTCCGGATTTTGGCGCCGCACCCTGCACGTGTCAATCTTTGAGAAGAAGGTTCGATGGAAGTATCATGGCGCAAGGACATTTTCAACAATTCATCTAATTGTTTTATTTCATCAGAAGAACCGAAGCCTTTTTCTGTTTTTGATTAGCTGTATTTCTTTCTAATAAACAGATTATTACTACACATTTAAATTTTTTTATTTCGGAAACTGAGCCATTTATAATAGAATACATGTTTATGTGAACTTTTTTACTTGAAATAAACCAAAGAATTACTCTGTTAAGTATGGCAACATACTTAACTAACACCCTGTATAATACTCTTTAAATGCGTATGCAGGACAATCTAGTAGAAAACCATCGAGTCATTTAAGATAATTTTCAGTATCTAGTTCCAAGTGGGAAACGCGTCGCGAATGTCGGCAGATTAGATTTGAAATATTTATTGTGATGCCTTGACATTCGATTTGACGATCAACGGACAGCAGAATTCACACAACTGTTTATTAATCAATAAACTAAATACTGCATATAGATTACGTTAAAATATATAGCAGACAGCTGCGAAAACATCGTGGTATATTGCAAACATCGCAAACGACCACCGTGCTTTCTGCATATCTACATAATGAATTGTTGACATTATTGCCACTGTTGACACTGTAATGCTAGACTGAATGTGTAGCATTGAGAAATTACCTGTTCTATAATACAACCAAACGTATTACAGCTCTCATTGATTGCAATACAAATAAAATCCGTGACGTTGAAATCGAGATCCTCATAATTCTGTAATTATTGCGAATCGTACACACGCAGCTTTTATTTGAAATTAACTGTAGAATTGCTTAAAAAAACAGTCATATTTTCTTTCAAATCATATAGCAGTGAAAAATAATAAGTAAGAGCATGATTCTTCACCTAAAAAAACAAGCGTCTCTCATGACAATTCATTTATTCATCGACTGTTGCGGTAGTCACTTCAGAAGACGCTTTGATAATCGCCGTAATCATTTGTAATCGGTAGGGACCGTTTCGTTTCCATCACACATATGCTTTTAATCCGCATCTCTACGTTGTTTGTCTCCTTCACCTCCATAACTTCCGGAAGAATAATACTTCTTACATATATAATTAGAAATCGCCTTGTATATGGAATTATTACTTTTAGATTAAGTCTAATTGCGTCATACATACTGCATACTTGTATATACATATTTTTTTATACTTTTCTTTTTTCCTTTCACTTCAGTCTCTTCCTAGACTTTTATTCCCAGTGTACAAGGCGAAAAAGACATGTGCAAGAACGTCGCGATTACTATTTTCTTAAATAAAAAAAAATATATATATATATATATACATTGCACACAGAAAAATATCATTATCTTGCTAAGAAAAGTGATTACTCAATTTAATCTCTTTCACTTACGTAATGGTTGTCTTTAGCAAAAAATATTTTCTTAATAATCTTAAAATGTACATACTTATTACAGTTATTACAAATTTTAGAAAAACTCATTATTATGTTTTTGTAATTCTTGTCTTAAAAAAAAAAAAGAATTTACTTTCTTTTGAAAAATATTATAAAATTGAAAGAAACGACTTCATCAGATGTGCCAAAGGACTTACGGATTATCGTCGTGTCGTAATCCATTGCTAATGCCCTGAACGACTTCATATAATAACTGTAATGAGCAAATTAAATTTTTTATAATTTAACAATCTTGATTAAAATATTAAACTTATTAGGATTCAGAATGTATTTTGAATAAATTCGATACTTATGATATTATAAATTTGATAAATGCTTGTAATAGATTTATAAATACATGAACTTTTGAAATAAGTAATTTTAAAACAAATAATTATTACTCGTGTACAGTATTTTTCTATATGTATATGTACAGGGTGGTTCACTTAAATCGATATAAAATCGCTTATTTTTGATGATATGAAGAAATGTTTCAAATGAAAGTGTTTCAAATGAAAGAGTTTCGAGGAGAATGTATTTTGGTCATGTTAGTTTTTTTTTTAGGTGGAGGCGGTAAAAATATATAAAGGTAAACATTCACTTTTTTTAATGGAATTGTATGATTTTTTACCCAATATAATTATATATATATTCCTCTAATTATTTTGCATATAAAAGTATTAAGGTGGTAATCAAAAAATCAATAGTTTACACTTTATTTTGACAGAATAATGAGATGAATCAGTTAGTATAAAGGAAACCTATCGTTACTTTAAAAAAATATGTATGCAAAATGAATAATTTTTTAAATAAGCAACTATGTTTTTTTTTTCTTTACACTAACTCATTCATCTCATTATTCTGTTCATAAAAGTATTAAGGTACGATTCAAAAAGTTAATAGTTTACGAGTTATTTAACATTTTGTAAAAAAATTATACAATTCCATTTAAAAAAGTGAAGGTAACCTTCATATCTTTTTGACGCCTCCACTTAGAAAAAAAAACAACATGATCAAAATACATCCTCCTCGATACCGTTCCACTTTCGTTTGAAATATTTTTTCATCAAAAATAAGCGAAACATTCAAGATGCTCGATTTAAGTGGATCATCCTGTATATTCATTTATTATAGTTTGTATATTCATTTATCTAACATTAATTTTGAAGTCTATATAATCTATGGGATATCATTTTGAGATGCGGTTCCGTAACGATATTATTGGTGCGCGAGAACTAAAAATAAATCTATTCCAAGAATATGAGGGCAAGAGAGAAATTTAATTTGAATTTCTCAATCTCGTACTTGATAAAATGTGGATAGCTCGAGATTAGTCGGTAGTATTATCTGTAGATTAACTCAGCTCGCTTCCTCTCTTTCTTTCTGAAGTATAGTTAGCTTAGAATTTCATCTAGAAAAGGAAACTCTTCTCCAAATGCTCTCAGATAAAGATTTTTTTCAATATTTAAGAGCTCTTATTTGAGGATAACAGGCTTTCAATTTAAATGCATTTTCGTGACTGAATTTAAATTCGATTAATCACTTTTTCGCTTGATTACTTGATCTATCTCGATGATAATAATTCAGTGAGAACGCTGATATCGAATTAGGAACAAATTAATCATTTTTCATTATTTAATATCATTAAAAATATGTATCTACACACAGAAAAATATCATTGTTCTAAAAAGTAATTAATAATTTAATTTACTTTCTTTCTTTTAAGTAACGAGATTATCTATAACAAAGAATATTTTCTTGATAATGAGCTTAAAATAAATTTTTAAAAAATTGATTAATACGCACTGAAAACAAGAATTTATTTTCTTTCAAAAAATATTATAAAATTAATCGAAGAAACTTTAATAATAAACAAATAAAATCTGTTTGAATTTAATAATCTTTATTGAAGTATTAAATTTATTAAGATTCAGAATAATGTTTTGAATACATTTGATGCTTGTAATAAAAATTATGATAGATATCTGTGGATATTTAAACGTTTAAAATATTTGAAACAAGTAATTATTATAATTATTTGCATACAGTATGTATTTTTCTACGTAAATTTATTATCGCCTCAATGCTTTTTCGGGCACGTGATGCTTTGTATTTCAACAGCGAGTTCCGCAACGTGGATTTTCGCCTTACTTGCTCCAAATTTGTCCGATATCGAGATCCCATTCGGCATTTATTATTATCGCACATGTTGCTGAAATCAGATAGGTTCAACGAATCGATGAAGCTGAACTCCTTCATTAAGCAGATCGCTATTAGATTTCTGTCCCCGGATTAATTAGCGCGCGACCATTAGAGCGAGGCGATACGACACGTAGACAAGTCGCGTACCTTCCACTCGATCCCGAGACCGACAGACCGGCAATCTGAATGCAAGAATGTCCCTACGATTCGCGGGAGAGGCACTCGCGTTTCATACACGTGGAATCACACAAGTGACGTTCCATCCGCAAAGAGAACCGTCATCCGGAGAGAGATCCAGCGGTATTAGACTTGCGGAGTTAATAGCGGAGTTAAATTGCTATTTAGTATTTATGCGCGAATCGCAATCAACGTTTCGTGTTCTCGCGAATATTGCACATTCGTCAATCCTTTACAATCGGATTTTTTGGCGCATAAAAAAAAATTATACACTCGATAGATGGAAATTAAAATTTGATTATATCACTAAGGTTTGAAAAATTTAAACATATTTATCTAATAGATATAAAAAAAATATATGATAAATATACAAGTTTTAGATATACATTAATAAATTTTTAGATATATATTAGAATTTTAAAAATATTATAAAAATATATAATATGTATATACATATCGCTCATTTACTGATATAACTTAAAAATTGTGATTTTTTTGCTTAAAAAAACAGACATATAAAAAAAAAGGTACATATATATAAATTATATAATATGTATCATTAATGTATGTATAACTGTAATACATATATATTTTATTATATCGCTCATTTTCTAAAATGAAACAAATAAAAGGAAAGTGTCATAAAAATGAATTAAAATGTTTTGAATTATTAACATTTCGTAATTATAATTTTGAAACACAATTTTGCTGTAACAACTGACTGTAGAGGAATAAAAGTATATATTTAAGTAGTATTTTTTTTTAATTTCTGTTTTTAGATATATATTATAATTTTAGAAAAATATGTAATAGAGATATATAAATATTTCACATCTTAAACGCAAGGAATTAATTCAAGATAACCAATAAAAAAAAACAATCCTTGGAGATAGTTATACGTAGACATCATATTTAGACGCGCAATAAGTAATTTTGCGCCAATAATAATCTTAATTCTTATTAAACGGCATAAATAATTACAGCTCCAGCTGTACATTAAGTATAAACGGTTATTAAAAAATTGCTATAAAAACGCAGCTTATTATACATCATGTAAGATAACGTGAGACGGAACGTTCTTTCGCAGGAAACACGTGCATAAAAATAAGCTCATGAGATTAACTTTATCACGACGCAACAACAATAGCGTAACGTAAAACGATGCAGGGATTTCTAATGTTCCTTTCCACGCGAGAATCACGCGTTTACAGGATTATGGGATCAGAATGGCGAGTACTCCGGTCTCTCTTAGAAACATCGACTTTAATCTTCATTAATAGAAACGAGGTCGTAATAAAGTATCGTATAAAGCCATATGGCGAAAGGAGATTCTTCCAACCGTTACAGAAATCCGTATTAATACTGGTCAGTAATAATCAGAAATTATTTATTGAGTATTAAAAGCACTGAATAACAATGCCTTTAATTCTAAAAAAAATAAATAATTTCCAATATCAAATTATTGTACTTAATTTTTAATAGCAGTGAACGACTAAAAACACTAAACGAAAATACTGGAGTGCTGAATTTTACATTATACTATTTTAAGCAGTTCAGTGCTTTTAATACCCAAAATAAATAACTTCATACTAGAAATTACTTGAATATTAAAACACTCAACTATTTAAAATAAATAATTAATTAATTAAACTATTATTTCAGTATTAAATTTCTAATGGCCAGCAAACACGTATCATCGCGTTATCAGGAAGATCCGCGAATACTCTGCTTACAAAAGTTAACCTCCAGCTGTCGTCAGTGTCTCCACAGTTGCAGTGGAGTGAAACAAACATCCGTGCGATTCCGTGGTTCATCAAAGTGCACTGCGTTTACAGAAAGTAACCACAATCATCGGCATGACGCAAACGACGCGTGAACGGTAAAGAAAAGGAAAAAAAAAAAGAAAGACATTCTTGTGCACTGAGAGACATCCACTCCGGAGCGTCGCGCGTCGCGTCGCCTCGCGGGACATCACGGGAGATGCGTCCGGAGAACACGTATGACGTACCTCGTGTGCCCGGCGTATGTACGACGGCGAGCCGCGCTCAGCTCTCCTTCATCGCCGCTCGCGTGCCAGCGCCAGCGTCAGCGTCGTGCCAGCGTCCTCGTCCTCGTCCACGTCGTCGTCGTCGTCGTCGTCGTCGCTGTCCCGGTCGAAATGGCGACGATACGTCACGACGCGCGTGCGAACGGTGACTGCCGCAGCCGACGGCGGCGACGGCAGCGGCTCCACGCAGTCGTGCTCGCGGAATGCGGTGGCGGCGACGGCGCGACGCGGCACCACGTTCGCATAAGTGCGAGTCACGATCGTTGGAGAATACGACGTGTGTGTCGCTCCTCCAGATTTGTAAACGGAATGCTGAAGAAGAGATGATTTCAGATGATTTCAGATGATCCCAGATGATCCCAGATGATCTCTCGACAAGAATCGCGCGAACGCCACGCCAGCGACTCGATGGACTCGACTCAGTCGCAACAATCGCGATAACCTCGCGATTGCGATCATGAGTGGCTTTCGTGATGGTAACGCAGCGCGGATGCATTCCGCACGCGCGATGATTGGCTGGCGACGGCGACGACGCGCCAATGGACGAATGGCCGTCATAGACATGCGACTTATCGGCGAATGAGAGATCGAGCGGATAACTTCACTATGCTTCGCGGTGCAGGGGCTTGATTGTGTATTTTGAAATGAGATGAAAATTACAAAAGTGAGCAATGATTACTAAGTATTGACCAATTAAATTATTATATTCTAGTGAATTTGTGTTCACTTTTAATTTTCACCTCATTTCAAGATGCACAATCGACCCCGCCAGGCCGGGGTGCAGTGGTTCTCATTTCGACATGCGTCGGACATTTTTTTAGGATTGCGAAATATAATTAATAATTTCGATTAAACTTCGACTTTTGCTTGTTTTTATCAATGTAAATTAACTTTAATTTTAGTTCAACTTACTCTTTATCTTTTTCTAATTCTAACTAGAAAAAGATGAAGAGTTAGTTGAACCAAGATTAAAATTGAACTACATTGATAGGAACGGACATTATGCTCAGTTCCACCTATGACCTATGTAGATTAACTTTAATTTAGATTCACTTACTCTATCTTTTACTAGTTTTAAAAATAGAATTAGAAAAAACGGACATTACTCTGCAGCGATTAATTCAACAATTAACGATCATGACTTCTCTACTTTTTATTATGTATGATAAGTTATTTGTGTTTGGATCAATTGTCATCACTTTCTAGAATACAAACTAATTAACAGTAACATTAATCATGAATATTATAATTTCCTATTCAACAATGTAATAACTGTTATACATATATAGCATGTTTTATATTGTTGAGTGGGAAATTATTAATGTTACTGTTAGTTTGTGTTCCGTGGGTTTTACAATGTACAAAAATTAAATGATTCTTATATATGCGAATGTTAAACTTTAGCATGTTTACGAAGTATTTGTAAGGTTATGTATTTTAAAGAAAAAAGAGAACCATTATTATTGAAGACTATTATTAGCACATAAAAAAACTAAGCAATAAAACGTAAACAGTAGCCAATCCAACGTATTAATTTCCTTTCTGCTTACGTCTTACTGCCTTAAATTATTTATATGCCTTAAAGTCCATTATTGTCATAGTAATTCAAAAATGAATTAAAATAAAAATTTTAATTGATTTAAATTTTTAATTAATTAAAATTTTAATTTATAAATCATTCAAATGCATACTTTAGTATCATTCATGGTCTATTTTCATTCTTTTTTTTTTTAATTCGATGAGATGGTAAATCTTTTTTTACATTCAATTGAAAAACTACATTTCCTATTCAGAATTTTGAATTAAGCAGATTCAAAATACTACACTTAAAAAACTGCAATCTTTTTTAGACTAAAGGGCATAAAAATGTGCTTCATGCATTTTCTATAAACGAATGAAAATGTATGAGACTAAAAATGATTCATTTTAACATTCGCAAATGCGTACTTCTGAAAATCATTTATAAGCATTCTCGTTTACTGAGATTAAGAACTATATTGACTGCGTTCAGCAGAGAAAATTGATCATTGAGCGTAAATTTTTTTATATGATGATTTCTTATGTTTAATTCTTTGATCGCTGGATTTAAATATAAGAACCAATCATATTAACGTATAAATCATTGAATGTTCAGTTTTCTCTGCTGAATGCAGCCATTATTAAATCAAATGCTCCTAGTCGTTCAAAGAACAATAATACACAGGATATAAATAATCCAATTGTGTACTATTTATAAGGGTAGTAAAATTTAAAATAAAATTATTATGACTATATTCACATAATCCTCGAAGTATAATCTTTTTTCCTATACATTAAACAACAAAACATAGATAATATCTATCCAAATATTACTTATTTAATAATAGTGTATTATCAATTAAGTCATTAAAATACTGATTTTGGCACTGAACTCAATAAACTTAATATACTTATTTTTTATATTTTATGGTTCTTTTTAATATCATAAAATATAATTTATGTTGTTTCTTAATGTCTTAAATTTTTAGTAAAATTATTTTTAATCAGGTGAATAAAATTATCACTCACAAATAAATGAGATGCAAATTTTATGGGCACTAAATATGGCATGGTAATCAAAGTGTTAAATAAAATATTAGTCTATTTTAGAATAATGAAATTAAATGAAAAGTAAGATGCACGTTTCAATGTTTAATTACAGTACTTTCTATTAGCGCTATGTACACAAAATATATCCCAGTTTTTTATCTATTGATTTTAGCATATATTTAAATAAAATTTAGTTATTATATTTTAGCTAAACTAACTTGGAAAAGGAAAGAAATTTTATAAATGTTTAAATATATCACGATAAACATAAATGTAAAAATTTACATCCTGTACTTATTAAGATATTTAAATTTAAAAATAAAGCCTTTCATTTTTCATTTTCATAATATAATTTTAATAATATAACGCCAAAAGAAGCTAAATTTACAGCTACAGTTATATGTGAAGAAGCTAAAATTATATGATGCATACTCCCCTATAGCACACGAATATTACAGCAATATTATTTTGAAAGATTGTAATATTTCATAAACATTGCTGCAATATTGTAGCAATATTCCTATGTCCGCAAAAATAAAATATTGTTTTAATATTATGCAATATTTCAATAATTATTCTATTAATTGCTAACACATTATTGTTTAGAATCATATTTCAAAATACATACGATAAAGTTATGATTAAAAAATATTCGGAGGTTTAGAAAGCATATCAAAGGCTATATTCCGATTTCCATCCGAATAGTACCCAGATATTATTCCATCCTTGTTAAATATCAAAACAAGGATGATACGACACTCGGAGAACACCTGGGTGGGAACCTGGATCCGAACACGCCTCAAAAAACATTGAGACTCTCTAGGAGACTCGCTAACTCGACTGCGTTGCATAGGATCCCTTCTTATAGGATCCCTGGACATTTTCTTCTTATGAAAAGCGTATCTCTCTGTGGCGGAGCCACGTACTTATTTACTGAATTGTAATATATTGCAACAATATATTGCAATATTCTCTACAAAATATTAAAAACAATATTTTGCAATATTGTTGCAATATTTTCAATAAAATATTATAATTTTAATATTGCACCAACATTGCTGCAATTTTTGTAATATTGCACTTATTGAAATATTGCTATAATATTTCGTGTTGTAGAGGCTTTTTCAGTTATAAATGTGTTTAGCTGGAAAACATATACATGTAGTTTTATATTGTCTAGTTACATGACCTAATTTGCTAAATCTTGAACAATAAATTATTATATTTTGTAATATAAAAATCCACAGTAAAACTTTTAAATTTTCTTATTATTTATAATAATCCCTTTTTAATTTTTCATTTCCTTTCTTTCCATGAAATAAAGAACTCTAACTGGTTGAATTTCTTATGCGTTATGCAAGAGTCTGTGCTCCCCACTTAAAATTAAATTAACTTAAATGAGCCTTAGACCAGTATCAAATTGAATATTGAAATTGAAGATTGAAAGATTTAAATTTGATCAATCTAAACAAAAGGAGCTAAAATTTCTTTGTTTTTATATATTAGTCAAATTTTAATCTTTAATCTTCAATCTCAATCTCCAATGCATAGTCTGATTCCGACCTTAACCCAAACAGCAGAATATTTAATACATATTTTATATAAAGCTTTATTCGAAATATTAAAATATAGACTAAATATTTTATGTAATATTTGTGATAAATATAAATAAATATTTCTAATAAGTATTTTTTACTTGGATTATAATGTCTCATTAAGTATTTTCATAGCATTTATTACAACATTTACAATAAATATTTCATAATATTTATAATAAATGTTTATAACCCTGAAAATGTAAAGCGAGTCAATAAAGCGTTAATTGAAGTGTAAAGGAAGTGTAACGAGAGAGTGACAGAAACGTAAATGAAATCCGTAAGAAGCGCAAATTGTAACATGGAACGTAAAGGAAGCGTTAACTAAACGTTAAAGAAACATAAATAAAAGTTATAGATAAGTTCTTCGGCAAGCAGGACAGAATATTCGTTGAATGTAAACGGAGCGTAATTAGACAGTTTAAAGAACGTAAATGGAGTATCGTCGAGTTCTTAGACGAACGTGAATGAAATGTAATCGAGGTGTCTTGGTAAGCAAATAATATTTTAAAATATATTCCACTTATTCGGTAAATATCTAAAAAAAATGCTATGCTTTCTTCTTGGCGCTCTAGGAGCTCAGTTCAAAAAATTATTTCATTAGATCACAACTGAAAAATCTTTTAATGCTACGTCTTTTATTCTAGTCTGTGCGGTTTTTCGAGAAATGAGTACTCGCTAAGGTCTCTCTGGTGGCGGTGCCGCGTACTACTCAACGCTTCATTTACGTTCGCTATACAGCTCAATGATGCTCTGTTTTAAAATAAATTTTTTTATCTCTGTATCCTGGAAGCGTACGCAAAGCGAGTTGAATGCTCCGTGTACTTTTTGCCGAACATTTAGGAAACGTAGACAAAGTACTAATGAATGAAATGTTTAGAAAGTGTATCAGTACGCTCCATGCATTTTTTGTGTAGTGTTCAAGAGCATATGAGAAACGTTAATGAAAAAAAAAAATTGTAAACGTGTGGGAAATGTGACAGATGTGTTTTGAGCACACTACGGAGCGTTTGGGGAGAGTTCGTGAAGCGTGTATGAATATTCAAAATCACTAAGAGTCAATGGAAAGTCAATGAAGTGTTTAAAAAGCGTTAAAATTCTTTATTCATACTTCTTTGACGCTTCGACAAGCTTTACATTTTCATCAGGGAATCTGTGCAATCTAAGACCACAAAAATATTTACGAAATATTAAAAATAAATCTTATAAATATTTATAAATATTTTGTAAATATTTTATAAATATTGTGTACTGTCTGGGAAATATATCCACAAACTTGCATAATCGCATAGAGAAAATTATTCAATTACATTATTATAAAGATTACGGTCCACTTGTTGCTACGAAGGATTTTTTGATTGGTCAGTTAGTAAAATTCTTTCTTTCGATTGGTCAATCAAAAGTTTCAAAGCATTTGTACAGAGTCAAGTGGATCGTACCTAAAGTCGCACGTAAAGTGTGATTGGATAATTTTCTTTAAGCATATCTACGTTTATGCGGCTACTTTGTAAATTTGTGTGGGTATATACCCTTAGGCGAAGAGGAGAATGAGAACCCTTGGGGACAGGAACTTTTGGTTGAAATGCCGACGACAGTTGGCAGTCCTGTCGCCTCACGGGGCAAGGCTCGACGGGCGACGGCTGCTCAGTCAGGGATCTCGATTGCATCGTGTCGGTTCGTAGGACCTGCGCGCGATCACATCGCAAGCGTACGAGGGAGAGCTCTCAGCCCGCTGCTGTCCCTCCTTCTCTCTATCTCTGTCTAGTCTGTCTCTCTTTCTTTCTTCCTACGCCGCCCATCGGCTGAATTGGCTCTAGCTTGGCCATCGCGCTGCGCCGAGGAGAGACTTGAGGTTTTCGGCGGGCGTGGACGACTGGACGTTACAAGGGTCCTCGTCGACGTGGATAGTGCGCGAAGGAGACGAAAGAAGGAAACGGACGGCCGGAAGTAGGAAACCCGTCGTAAAGCGGACGTGCACTTTTATTCCTCCCTCCATCGTGCTCTCCCTGTCTCTTCCCCGTCGTGCTCACTCGTTCTCTCTCCCTCTCTCCGTCTCTCTCCCCCCCCTTCCCTCTCTCTTCCCCTTCTCTCTGTTTGTCTCTCTCCCTTGCGCGTTCTCTCTTCTGTCCCGCGTCGGTTCTCTCGTCGACGGCCGTCGGACCGCGCCGCACCGCGTCGTGTCGTGTTTCGTATCCGAGCCAGAAGTCAGAACTCGTCGTCCGCCAGAGCCGCGCCTCCTGGAGCCTCGCGGCTACGAAAAACGGCCACCGCCGGTGACAGTGACATGTGCGTTGCTCCAGTGCTGTGCCCCGCTGTCGTCACCGTGGCTATACGCCGGAGCAGCCTGCTGCTGTGCGCCCGCTGTGCTCCCTGTGCTCGCTCAGATCGCTGCGACCGTCACTGCTGCCGTGCCGCCGCCGTTACTCGCCGGAGTCGTCGTTGCACGTCGCCGTTGCGATGCGCCTCGTCTACGATGCCACCGCCCGCAAGATGCTGTGAGTATTTACACATTGCGAGAATCCGATATGAATCTGAAGAACCCACTGGGTTTTCCTGGGTTCTCGCCTCGCCTCGCCTCGTTTTGCCTTGCCTTGCCTTGCCTTGCCTTGCCTCGCCTTGCCTTGCCTTGCCTCACCTCACTTCGCCTCGCCTCGCCTCGCCTCGCCTCGCCGCGACTCGGAGCCGACGCCGACGGCGCCGAACGCAGCTCCGTTTTCGGCTTCGCGATCGTCACCGTCGCGCCTCCGAAATTGTCAGAGATTATAACGGGGATCTTCCGTGCCCTTATAGAAATTTAACTAGTTTAATTTACTAGTACTGCTCGATTAATCGCTTATTTTCAATATTGAAAGTACCGTTAACAATACTTTTAATATTCAATGAGTGATTAATGGCCAGTATCAAAATTTGAAAGTACTATTAACAATACTTTTTAATACTTAATAACTGATTAATGGCTAGTATTAAACTTTTAAGATACTGTTAACATACTTTTAATACTCAATAAATGATTAATGGCCGATATTAAGATTTAAAAGTACCGTTACCAATACTCTTAATACTCAAAATAAGTGATTAATTGATACTACTAGTATCAAAGTTTCATAAGGTTGCTCTTTCCTTTTTTTTCTTTCTTTCTTGCTCCAGATTATTTATGATCGAGATCCACGCGCTTCACTCGCTCTTCTTCTTTTTCCTTCATAAGATACAGCTTGCAGAGAAATAAGGTCTGTTCGTGTTGCTTGAAAAATTTCGCACTTGAAACGGAATAAATGTATATACATTCTGGCGTTGAAAAGACAGAAAGCAAAGATTCTCAATGCAAAAAGTGTAAGCAACGCGAATAGACTTGTAATTTCTCCACTGTATCTCTCTCTCTCTCTCTCTCTCTCTCTCTCTCTCTGGTTGCGAGCGGGTATCGCTCGGCTTCCTCCTCGCGCGTGCATTTTAACAGCCGCAGCAGGCCGCTGCTCCGCCGTGCCGGCCGTCCGTGTCGCCATGGCGCGCTCGCGGCTCGCTGCGGATTGCGGAACGCGAACGCGGAAAAACAAACGCAGCGCGATTTCCGCCCGCCGCCGTCGTTTGTTCGGCAATGAGTCTACATCCGGGGAAATCGCGCGCCGCTCTTTATCTATCGATTCCTTCGGGCGTACGTGACCACCGAGTCACCGACGACGGTTGTAGTCTTTCCCGCCGCCCGACGGGACGCGAACGAGCGAACGCTCGGAGGAAAACGCGAGCGCGACGACCGCCTTTGTAAAAGTCCCGTTTGCAGAGGCTTCCGAGCGAGGAAATGAATCTCCACCGGTTATAGTTGCACGCGACGAGGCATTTCAGGCGCGAGGAACCGATACCCGCGCGAAGATATCGATTTTGGAAAAGCCCCATCTCGTTCCCGTCGGTTCTCGTCAAGAGAAACCTCTCGTGTGGGGGGGGGGGGAGGGGGGCGCACAATCGCCTCTCTCTCTCTCTCTCTCTCTCTCTCTCTCTCTCTTTGATTTTATTTTGTTATCTATTAATCTTTTTTTTTTATATCTTTATTTTTGTTTTTTTTTTACATCTTATGTTAATAAGGTCTGTATTTTCTTGCATTACATTGTATTAGAACTTTTTTCTTGCCTTCACCAAATATCAAATATATACCTATTTCACTTTTAAGCTCCAAACGTGTTTGCTACTCCTTTCTTTTTAATAATAGCTGTGTTCTTTTTAGATGAACTTCTTGCACGGTTCATCCAATCATTTCCAATACGGAGAAAAAAAGAAGAAAGATGAACGGTGGAACAAGTTCAGCTGGAAAGAACAAACCTAATGTTAGGGAATGTAGTGCCAGAGCGTTCAATATATGATACCGATTTTGTTTCTCGTTTTCTTTAAAAAAAAAATGTACTTTATAATTTTATTTTATTTATAATTTTTTCATTATCTTTTTTATCTTTATTTTTTATATTTTTATCTTTACATTCTTTAGTTTTACTTTGGAAATATTATTTTTGTGTTACCATTCTTTCTTTTTATTTTCTTTTTACTTATTATTTTTATATTCTTGTCGTAGAATGTTAATAAACGGTACTATCTATCTATCTATCTATATATTTCTTTCTTCTTATTTTTTGCGTTTTTACTCCTACAAATGTCCTAGCTCATCTTTATGTTCTTAGGCCTGTGTCACACTACGCATATTGGAGATTGAGGATTACGAATTAAAGAATAGAATTCAGCCAATCAGAACGAAATGAGTGACGGATTGGAATTAAAACTATCTGTCTGATCGAATTCTAATCTATAATTCACAATGCTCAGCTCCAATGTGTAGTGTGAGACAGGCTTTAGAGGGCTCGCCCTAGAACAGTGATGAATGCTTTATCTCTCTCTCTCTCTCTCTCTCTCTCTCTCTCTCTCTTTCTGTATGGCCACCTCCTCGAAATCGAACCGTCGTCGAATCGCGCGGCGTGCCTCGCCACGAAATGCCCGAAACGCTTCGCCGCGATGGAATCGCGCCTAGAGTTGACGGGCGGAATTTTCGGCGCTTCACATGGCTGCCGAGTCCACGAGGCACGTAAGTGTGTCGCGTAACAGTTGCCCACGGAAGAAAACATGGCAATCCGGGGCGAGCACATCGTCCGAGACGATTGATCGTCTCGTAAATGCGCAGAACGGCACCGTGTCTGTGTCTTTCTTTACTTCAAGGGGGAAAAGCAATGAAGAGTGACAAAGATTGAAATTTCTTCGATAAATTATTACGGTTTCTTTGTAGCTAAATAACACGGAAAGGAGTATTTAAAATAGTTCACGGAACTGAAATATTTAAAAATTTAGCCGAAAATAATTTTGTTGGACTGTCAAAATAATTATGTAAGACGCTCAGAGCTGGTTGTTGTTAGAACGTCAAAACTTTTCGCAGTAATGCTTATCATGCTTGAGATTTCTACGTAATTATTTTGATGCCAACAAAATTATTTTCAAATCTATATCTAACTAAATTTGCAGATACTTTAATGAAGTTGTTCTTTCCGTGCAATGTAACTTTCGCGCGCGCGTTGAACTTAAAATGTATATATGCATGAAAAGAATGATTTTATTTATAAGTACCTAAAAATTTATAGTTAGATGCACTGAGAGAAAAATTTTTAATATTTATATATAATTACATATTTTACTATAATTATGATTATCACTGCTCTCTCTCTCTCTCTCTCTCTCTCTCTCTCTCTCTCTCTCTATTATAATATTAGTAATAATAATCATATGTACCTACAGTTCTAGCAATAAATATACATAGTTGGCAACCTAAAATGATTATAATAACTATAATTACAGTTATTTCAAGTTGTCAATTATACATATATTTCTTGCTAGAACTATACATATGGTTATTATTACTAATATTATAACAGTATGATAATCACAATTATAGTAATATGTAATTATAGTTATATAAATATTAAAAATTTTTCTCTCACAATCAGTGTACAGATCTGAAAATAATTTATATATATATGGACAATTTGCTAAGTCAGGAACTTTTTAAAAGATTATGTTGAAAAATAAATTGAATTTTCGTAAAAAAGAAGTTAAAAAGAGTCATTGACTTATCAAACTGCCCTCGCATATAATTTTGTTGGACCATTAAAGTAATTATGTAGAAAACTCGAGCATATTGAGGAACGTTGCAATATATCTGAAATTTGGTAAAGTCAGAGAGAAAATTTAAGTGTAGTCTAATGTTACGACAAAAACAGGCTTATCTCACGAGATGACTCATTGAGATGATGGTGAGACTAAACCCGGCGCGTAGGATAGTTTTAGGCCCTCTCTATTGATTCGAGCTTTACTCTACTGACTCATTTACTACAATTTCACTCAAACAAACACGAATCCCTCCCTCTTTCCCTCCATCATTTCCGCAATATACATCAAGTATTACGTTAAAATAGCTCTATTTTTCCTCTCAGTTGGATCTTTCCAGTTAACGGCAAAAGTGGACGTGTTCTATGAACACGTTAATGAAGGGACACCAGCGGTGAGTTTTCGTCAGCAAAAGTGGAGTAAAGCTTTTCGATGGCGTTACTGCGCAGTAGGACGAGCCTGACCCCCCGAGTCGACGCTAACATGGTGGTTCGTTCCGTCGTGAACGCCGCCGGCGGCTTTTCCGCCTCGAGCCTTCGCAATCGGCATTTCGTACGCGTTCTAGGCGGCTACCTTATCAATACGATCCGTGATTATAAACAGTATACGAACGATCCGAGAAATCATTAGAACGCCATTAGTCCCGCGAACCTATCAACTTGTAACTGGATATCGGTTTGAACGTCATTGTCCGTAATAATTAGATCGTTTCTAAGGTAAAAACCACTCCAACTATCCCGCGAATCGATCGAAACATAAACAATGAAACAACGTTGTAATCGAGCTAACCTGCTGATCGTCCCGATGAAAAGTCTCACAAGTTCAAAATGAGTTGAGGACTAATCTCCGTTTCATCGAATTTTTATAAGGCGGGTCGATAACTCGGTTATCAGGAATCCGGTGAGTTTGAACTTTTTCTAAAGAGTCTTTAATTATTTGATTACACACACAAAACATTGTTTCGTGACTCATTTAAGTTTTTGTAAATCACTTGTGTGTTAATTACATTACTCATCTTATCTATATTTATAATTCCTACACGGAAAGAATATTTCGCTGAAGTATCTAAAAATTTAGATACTTTAGCAAGAGATATAGATGAAAATAAATGTAGGACCATCAAAATAATTATGTAGGAAAGTGCAGCAAGCATAATGATGCAATGTTGTAAAAAGTTTTGACATTGCAGCAACCAATTTGAGCGTCTTACATAGTTGGTCAATAAAATTTTGATGTTCTGACAAAATTATTTTCAGATCTGTACCTATCTAATTTCTTTTTAAATACTTCAAAATCGTTCTTTCCATGTACAAATTTAATTATATAGATACAGATCTGAAAATAATTTCGTTCAATCATTAAAAAA